AGCTGTGCCTGGCTTGGGTCTGGCTGCTGTGCTCAGCTCCTTCCTGCTGCCACCCTTGGGAGTGAACCTGTTGTGCCCCTCTGGCAAGATGTTCTGCTCCTGGTCTAGCTGGATGGTTCTGTCCCCTATGTTCTGCAGGGACTGCAGCTGCAGAGTCTCACCCCAGGCCTGAGCTGAGTCTGAAGGGGACAAGGTGGAGTAGGGGGGAGAAGAAGCTCTCCCACACACTCACCGGGACTGGGCTAGGGCTGGATCTGGGGGTCCCGAGAACCTGGGAACCAGAAGTTCTCACTCACTGAGTGGGAGTGGTGGGGACTGTGGAGTGGTGGGGAGAGGATCCCAAGGAGGTGGAAGAGGGTTTCACCCATGCTGTGCCTGGGCTTGGACCAGACAGGTCCTGCTGGCGAAGAGTAGCTGGAAGCTCTCCCACACACTCACTTGGCCTGGGCTAGGGCTGGATCTTGGGGTCCCGAGAACGCGGCAGTAGTTATCACTTGGCGGGCGGGGAGGTGCGGTGCGGGTGCGGGTGCGGGTGCGGAGTGGTGGTGGGGATCCTAAGGGGGTGGAAGAGAGTCTCACCCACGTTGTGCCTGGGCTTAGACTGCACAGGTCCCGCTGGTGCAGGGTAGCCGGAAGCTCTCCCACACTCACCGGGCCTGGGCTAGGGCTGGATCCATTTGGAGTTTCTGGTTCTAACATTTTCTCTTAGCTTTAACTTATGATAGGGATACTTTTATAGTTAATAATTTTTATCAGTATGAAGTAAAACTCTAAAGGATATCCCAGATAGTTCTCTTTTTTGTAAATAAAAAATATATCCTGAACCAAAGTAATATGGAATATCTCTATTTGAAAGCAATGTCCTTTTAACTGATCAGATAACTTTTTGTGTATTAGTAATGAGTCACTAAGATTTTGGTTCCAAATTAGTTTAATGATTTTAAAATAATTTTAAATCATAATTTGCTTTTGTATTCTTAAATCTGAGTTTAAAATAAATTGATTGATTTAATTATTATGTGTTGCCCGGATATAGTTCGGTGGCACAGTGCCTTCGTAGTAAGTGAAAGGTCCTTAGTTCAATTACTGGTACCAAAAACATCATTATGTGTCTCTAACTAGTATAGTAGGGAGTGTGTAAATTATTGAAATTACCTAGTTGACTGTTACTTTCTTCAGTTATGCAGAAAAATTGTGTATGATAAAGTTGCTAACTTTGGGGTCAGCTTTGTGAAGGAAGCACTTTTGTTATATAAGTCTATGCATGGAAACCCCATTCCATAGTACTAGAAATAAAGCATTGTTTTCCTGTACAGAGCTTTGGGTTCACAAGCAGGTCAGGAATTGGAGTATTGGCGCCCTTCCGGGCAGTCTTGTAGGATTGCGGTGCTAAGCTTATGCTCTTTTCCTGGGGCCGGTGTTTTTTATCTACACGCAGAGATTTTTTTTTTTTAGCAGATTTGGTTGTCTGCTGCTTATAATTCCAGTACCCGGAAGTGACTGCGGTGGCGTTTCCTTGTTCTCTGTGGTGGGGCGGACTTTAGAATATTGTGAAAATGATAACGTGTACGTATGTGATGTGTGTGTATGAGAGGTACAGGATTCCTTTTTTCTTTGCCTTTTGTTTGACATTTAAATTCTTTCAACCTTACTGGCACACAAGGGGGTGAGAAGAAAATCTTTAAAGTGGCTAGTTTTGTTCTCTCGTTGATGGGCAATTACTCGTATCTGGCCACTTCCTAGTCTTCCACATGCTTTTTTGGTTTGCAGTTAGTTTGTGCCTTTGGTCAGATTGGCTCTCAGAAGATACGCAGTTGCTGATGACAGATGCTCATTTGTTTCTATGCAGATGGAATTATTTTGTACCAGGAATGAAACTGAGGACCTTGGCCTTGGCGGGCCTCAGGTGGGCCGGGCACGTGGAATTTTAACAGCTATCAGTTTTGTAATTGTAACTTGTATTTTTTCTTAAAGGAGGAATTCAGGGAACTTCGGGAGCAGCCAAGTGATCCTCAAGCTGAACAAGAGCTAATTAATAGTATTGAACAAGTGTATTTTTCTGTGGACTCATTTGATATTGTTAAATATGAGCTGGAGGTAAAAGAAAACTTTCATTAAAACTCGTCTAAATGCTGTCTTGTTAAATGATTGAATTAGTGAGATTTGAATATTTTTGAAGAGCACTTAACTATTTTGATAACCAGAGCAGGCTCATTGTGGCTAAATGAGCTAAGAGCATTGTTTAATGGACAGATTATAAAATATAGTTATTTAAGTACAGCATCAGAATATTGGTCAGGATAAGATTTTTCTATTTGTGGTTTTCAACTGTTGTTATTCAGATATGTTAGTATGTGGCTTCTATTGTATTGTATTTTATTCTATCGTGTTTTATATTGGTAAGTATTTTATATTGGTAAGTATGTTTAAGCTCTGAGACTTGATGAATGTTCATTATGATGAAATCCACTGTGCAATAGGATTGGCATTTTATGTTTAGGAATTTCAGAAAGTCAGAATAGTGAACTTTTTAGACAAAGTGTACATATGTACTATTTTGTATGGATGTATTTGGTTTACAAGTCAGAGGCCTTTAGCTAAATGAAAGGAAATTAAACATTTTTTTCTTTTATGATTTTTTCTATAGAAGCTCCCTCCTGTTCTCAATTTGCAAGAATTAGAGGAATACAGAGATAAATTGAAACAGCAACAAGCTGCAGTGAGTAAAAAACATTTTTTTTTTTTCTTTTTACAAAACTGTAAATCAAACCCAGCACACGGGTCCAATGTTTGTGATTTTGTGATCTTAAGTAATTGATTAATGTGTAAACAAATCCTAGTATTTAACTCAGGTGATACATTTATATTTTATACTGATTTGGATACCAGTTTTAATACCAGTGCTGTTTTCCTTATATTTCTTTGAATGATTTGCTTCTAGAGCTTGGAATTCTCTGTGGTATTAGTGATCAAAGAATTTAGAACTTGTTTTTGATTAGGAATTAGCTTTAGGCTCATTGTAGTGCAGATGTGACTTCCGATTCCTTATGCATCACTTCAGTGGAACATTATCTTACACTAAAGGTCCTGTCTTCTAGTTGTGGTTCCTATTTGACTTTTTCTTAGAACGGCTTTAGTATTTTAAGTTATTATTAAACAGTACTAGGGAATCTTTGGAACTCTTAAAGTGACATTGAGGGATAATTTTGGTCTGTCTTCATTGATTAAAGTCTAAAAGCTACTTCGAGTGTGGCTTTCTTAGTGGAATCGTAAGTCTTTCTAGATAAAAAAAAATCACTGTATCTAGAAATAATTCACCTATTTCAAAAATGTTGGTGTGGCTTAAGGACGCATGATATACTTAATGTTGTTTCTTATGTGTGCATTGTGTTGTAGTCTTTTGGCCAATTGTGGTTCTTGAGCAAATGCTTGGCACATTCCACGAGTCATGCTTCACGCTAGGGTGCAGTGCAGTTGGCAAGGCCCCTGCAAGGTGGCATAAGTCCTTCAGGTTCAAAATTAGTATAATTCTAACATGCATACATTAATAGCATTCTTGAATGACCAACAGAACCTTAGACATCTTTATAGCATTCTAAAAAGCACTTTATTTTCAACTTTTCAGAAGTCAAACCCAAAGGGTAAATTCTCTGAGAGTTGTCTTCATAAGTTAAGTTTATTAAAACTTTGTGTGAACAAATTCATCTTTTTAAAATCATGGACAGTGCCCTTAAGGATGGCTACACTTCTATGCCTGTTTGTTAAATCAGATGATATTCATCAATATAAATACTGACCCTTTATTTAATTTCTCATAAGTTTCAGATGCCTTGTTATGCACTTATTATACGACTTGTTTTAATAATTCCATTGCCTAGGGAAATGTGTGCAGGAATAACATTGCAGTAACTATTCCAGGAGGTATTGATAAGAGCTATAGAATAGTCTCATAAAAATTTTAAGTATAAAATATAATAAGAAGTGTGAGCTTTTGCTTTTACTTCCTTTGTTTGATTGCATGTTTTTGTAGGTCTCTAAAAAAGTAGCAGATTTAATCCTTGAAAAACAGCCTGCTTATGTAAAGGTAGGGTAATTTTTACTATTTTCATAGTAGTGTTTTAAAAATGACATGAGTAACATGCTAGAAACCGTTAACATATTGTAATTATTCTTTTTGTTTATAATTTATAAGAGCCGGCCAAATAGCTCAGTGGATTAAAGCGTCTGCAAGCAGGCGCAGAGGCCGAGGGTTCGATCCCTGCCAACCCCGCCCCCAGGGCACACTGCGATGGCAATTGAGTCTGTGCCTGGTGGAGTGAGCCTGTATTCCCAGCTCTTGGGAGGCTGTAAACAGGCTGATCACCATGAGTCGGATCTAGTATTGAGACTCAGAACACCTTGTAGGCCCTTCCCTAAAATATAAAAAAAATTTTTAAAAAAGATAAAAATTTTTTAAAAAATTGTTTATGTGTGTAGGTTGTATGTCTCTTTCATTTGGGGCAATTTACCAAGATAAAAAAGTGAAATAAATTTTTTATGTGATTTTTATGTGATGCTTTTGTTTCCAAACTTTACAAAGGATAATGAAAATTGTTTCTATGAACTTTGTAAGTAAAACATCAATCAGCAGTATAACAGTTTGGCTCAGTGATGGTATAACAATCTGTAAAATATGTTCAAGTTGAGACTGTGTAGCTGACACTGTGTTCTCATCAGAAAATGAGAGTTTTCGAAATTCATCGAAACATCTTACCAGTGTTCAGATCAAGACATGCATTGTCAAAGTATTTTCAAAGACAGAAATCGTATTTGTCATATTCTTAAATAGTTGGTGAAGTTTTGTTAGGTAGAAACATGTAAATGGCTATATTATTGGCATTTACTTATTCCTGTCTAAAACAGCTTAGTTTAAATTTTCTTACAAGCATTACTGACTAAATATTTTGTCATCCTTCATTGTGAAAGTCAGTTGGAGATAGTGATTGTAAATAACTTCAAAAAAACATACTAAAGGTTTTCAGATTTGGGTATTTTTGTTGTTACTTTTTTTGCCAAGTAGGCTTTTTCTTGAAAGTAACCAATTTTATTGAATACCATAAGCGTAAGAAAGAAAAATAAAATGCCTCAGACAATAATGTCTACCTCATCTTTCCACAGGAACTTGAAAGAGTTACCTCTTTACAGACCGGTCTCCAGTTGGCCGCTGTAATCTGCACAAATGGGAGACGGTATTGTTTTCGGTGTTATTTTGTTTGCTAAGCTGTGAAGTATTTCAAAAATGAAGATGAAACGTATTATTGACACTTGGCTTTTAAAATTATAGCTGTGCTTCCAGAATAACATTCTTGATGTGAATATATATTATGATCTAAAAATTACACTGAAAGGGCATGTGGAAATAGCTATAAGTCCATGTATAAGTTAAAAATATTACTGTTTGTGAAATAATTTGGACTAGTGCTTCCTAAATTGTCTGTGGTAAGGGACCAGTGGTTTTCTGTTTCCACAACTTGTCATAGGCTATTTTTGTAAAATGCAATGGAAACAAATTATGAGGAAAATGAAATAAAAGAGAGGATGAAGATGTAAAGGGCCTTAATTTTTAAATTACTTAGATTCACATAGAATAAAATTATTGTGTCACATTGTTCACCACATTTTAAAACACTTTTTCCCATTTCTGTACTTTTCTTACTGTGGCCCACCGAGAGTTCACAGGTTGGCATCTGTATACCCGCCACATAGGAGTAATGCTGGTTTAGATTATGCCTTTGACTAAATCTGTCAAATAGTATTCGCTACCCAGTTTTATTAGCAAGCCGGTCATTAGTGGCTTAATTGTTCTATGTGGATAATGTTTTTATTCTATTAGAAAACTTTTAATTGTGTGTTGTTCACTTCACAGGCACTTGAATATTGCAAAGGAAGGGTTTACTCAAGCTAGCTTGGGCCTTCTTGCAAATCAGCGGAAACGTCAGTTGCTGATTGGACTTCTGAAGTCTCTAAGAACTATAAAAACACTGGTATATGCAGTCATTTAAAAAAATTAAACCTTAGTTTTGCATTTGAAACGTGTTAACTTTGATTTTTTTTTTTTTTCCTAGCAAAGAACAGATGTACGTTTAAGCGAATTGCTAGAGGTAAGCTAACAAGGCTTGTAAATTTGGTGATGTGAATATTATTATGTAGAAAAATGATGGTAGACAAAATTCAGATAGGAATTCTTCTGAATTTGGTATATACTATGAAGAGCATTTTTGGGCTGGCCAGATAGCTCAGTGGACTAAAGTGCCTGCCTAGGCAGTGCACAGTGGGCAGGGTTTGATCCCTGGCATGCTGTGCTAACCCCTACCCCCCGGGGCATGCTGAGATGGAGGTTGAGACTGGGTGTGGTGGGACATGCCTGTAATCCCAGCACATTGGAGGCTAAAAACAGGAGAATCACTACGAGTCTGATCTATGTAGTGAGACCTTGTAGACCCTGTACACCCTGTACCAAATCCATTAAAAAAAGCATTTTTAAATAAATGTACTTGCCCTGGAGACTTTTGTATTGGTATAACATATACTTATTTAGAAAACTAAATTAATTTGGAAGATATTTATTTTTTAGTAACATTGGAATGCTGACTTCAGTCTTTTGAGTGTACTGCATTCAAATACAACATCATATTTTGCATCTAATATATAGTAGCAATTTATGGAATATATGATATTTTTGTTTTGTTTAGTATCATGTATTCATTGGTTTTTTGAGTGAGCCACCTGCTTTTTCTTTGGTACTCTGAGCAGTCTGTGTCTACTTCTGTCATAACAAGGTTCACCAAAGACTGATGAAATATGTGTGCTTTCCTGTCATACTTGAGGTGCCCAGGGTAGGTACTGTGTCATATCTCAAGGTCGCTAGTGGTTTGAGTACCATTTGTTGGCTTTAGATATGCACATAGGGAAAAGTTTTATGGGGTTTTCCATATAATCTTGTGTTATTTCTGAATTTGTATTACAAACGTAGTTTTGAGAGATCCATACAGAAATTTAGGCATTCAATTTTTGCCCAACTGATAAATATATTCTGGCTATATTAATATTTTACTTTCTCCCAAATATATTTCCTTGGAAATATTTATTGATGTCTTGTTGATAGAACTGTTGAATGTTTTTTATTTATTTATTTTTTTGTGGAACCGGGGATTGAACTCAGGCCCTTGTGCTGGCCAGGCAAGTGCTTATCCTACTGAGCCATCTCCCCCGGCCCCGAACTGTTGAATCTTGATTACATTTCCCCAATGGAATACATACTTTTTTGGATCATTTGATATAAACATGGTTGAAAGAAGACATGTTAGTAATTAAAACCTTCATTATAGAGCAACTTATAATTCTGTATGTACTTATGTATCCCTAGGTTATGGTTTCAGAGGGATACTACTGTGCATTTGAGGGATCACTGTGTTTCACTTTTTTGTTTTTCAGTAGACATTTCAGGGCTGGAGTTGGTTGACTCTATATATTGTTACTTGTCTATTATTGATATTCTAAGTTTTGCTTAAAAGGAGTTGCAGGTTTTGGTTTGATAACTTTTGGTTAGAGTACAAAGAAAGATGTGTTTTCATTAGAAATTTTAGGAAAAATATTTTCAGTCTAATGAGCTCTGTTGTTGTGTGAAGGAGGAAGACTATCCAGGGGCTATTCAGTTGTGCCTGGAGTGCCAGAAAGCTGCCAGCACTTTTAAACATTACAGTTGCATAAGGTAAGCGAATACACAAATTTTAAAGCTCATTCTATTGTTAGTTCTTTAAAAAGTGATAGTGATGCAATGTTAATAAATATTAAAAATTTAACATAAAGTACCGTGTTTTGCTTTAATATTCATGTGCATAAATGACAGTACAGTACCGATGTAAGTAGTAGTTCTTGAGATGTGGAACATCAGATGCCTTGTTGTTGTCACATAACTTTTCCATATTCTTTCTAGTCAGCTTGATGTCATTTTATAAGTAATGGACAAGGATAATAGTCTGTTTATACCTTCATTGCATCTCTTGGGAATCTTTCCCATTTAATTTTAATTTTGGTTCTAACTTTATTAAATAGAGTTTTGGTTTGTTTAAAATGAAAGGTTTGCCTTACTTGTGACAGGATCTTACAGAGATCCTTAGATATAACTTGCATCATTCCTCCAAAATTACCCCAAGAAAATATACAATTTAAGTACAATAGTGTGCTTATCAAGCAACGCTAGTTTAAAAGAAAGTCCATGACTGTCTCAAAGTGTAGCCAAATTCTGGCAGTCTGTGAGCATGACTCCCTGATGTTACCAATATTGTTTGCTGGTATCTGAAAAATAAAGGGATTATGGTAGAGCAAAATATTGATGCACATTTGAATCCCTTTTTTCTTTTTATATATCCTATCATAGATCTTTACTGTGTGAGAGCTGAGAGCTAGCTATTTTCAATCCAGATATTCTATTTAAATATTTCTCTTGTTTTGCTTCACTAGATTCATGCAGCTTGGAATAGCACATTTTTTATTGCTTTAATATGCATATAGTAGGGCCGGGCAGATAGCTTGGCGGTCCAAACACCTGCAGTGGCAGGCTAAAGGCCAGAATTTGATCCTGGCACCACAATGTACACGAAACAGGCATGGTGGTACACACCTGAAATCCCAGCGTGGGGAGGCTGAGGCAGGAGGATCACTATGAGTTCAAACGAGACCCTATATCAATCAATCAATCAATCAATCAATCAATACTTTTTTAAAACAAGATATTTATAGTAGGGTAGCACCATTGATATTTTGGTTTTGTCTATTTTGAGAGTGATTACCTGTCATTACTAAAAACTTTACAGTGTCATTTACACTTACAAGATTGAGTGAGTTGAGAATTAGCATGATTCTGTTGAATATCTGTCAAAATTTTGAACAAGACATTGGGGATCCTGTGCAGACATATGCTAGCATCCATTTAGTTCATTTTGTGGTGGCAAATGTCTTGACAGCGGTAACAGCTTGTTTATTAGGTGGAAATAATTCAGACAATTATGTATTTGCTGAGTGTTTGCATGAGGTGTTTTGCTTTGACATTGGCAATGTAATGGTGAACCATACACAACACAATCAGTATAAATTCCTGGTTTTATATAGAACATTATGTATCCAAAAGAATTTGCTGTACTGAAATACACACAGGTAGAATTGGGCTTTAGAGAGAAGGACATTAAGCACAGACTAGAATTGTTGAGATCTAAGTATCTTTTTTGAGGTCAGGAGTAAGGAGGACCTGAAGAAGGGTAGGAGGAAGTAGTTAGGCCAAGATATGGAAGGGGTTGGGGATCAGAAATTCTGGGCACTGGGAATGCGATCTTCCTTAATGACATGCCCAGAACATGATGGCTGAAAAACACAGCAGTGAGGAAGTCATCTTGACCTTCTGGGGGATATTGCTGAGAGCTGGTTGAAGTAAAAGATAAGGAAATTTTGTGCAGAATGATAGGATACACTTTATTTGAAAACTAATAGGAACCATTAACAGGTTGAAAATAAAGTAGAGGAGATAATAATAAACCAAGACTTTGTAGGGATTGTAGCAGGATTGACTTTTAAAAGTCACCACGAGGGCTGGCCAGATAGCTCAGCTTAGGCAGAATCAGGGACCGGGGTTTGCTCCCCGACATGCTGTGTGGGCCTCACCCCAGGGCACGCTGAGATGGTGATTAAGACTGAGCATGGTGACATGCACCTGTAATCCCAGTGCTTAAGGAGAGTGAAAACAGGAGGATCTCTAGGAGTCCGATCTGTGTAGTGAGACCTTGTAGACCCTGCACTAACTACCCCAAAAAATAAATTAATAAAATAAAGAACTGATGATACATGATAAATGTTTTTTTAAAAAACATTCATCAAAAGTCACCATCTATTAGGAAAGAATGAGTGCAGGAAGTTGAGGGAACGGGGGAAATGGTGAAGCAGTATTTCACATTACTCACTTGTTCTTTTTTAGCTTTGCTAAAGTAAATAGGTTACATTATGAGAGTTACAGAGAATGGTTTTGAAAGAAATTCTTATTTGGGCTTTTTAAAGTTAGCATGAATGGAGTCTAAGCACTTCCACATTACTGTGTGTAGTAATATATGGAGCTCTCATGATGGTGAAAAAGTATAGTAATAAACTTGAAAAGGTTGATAATGAAAATTTAATTCTTTCAGATAATGCACTATTTAATGCTGTGTTTACTTAGGTGAATCCTGTTTGTACTACTAAGAAAAGCTTGTCTTTTGTCTACAGATGAGTAGAAATATGTCATAGATCCATTCAGTTGTCCCAAACAAGTCATTATGATTGATTTCACCTTAGGTTTACTAGGAAAACTTGGAACGGTGGGGTTTTTTGTTGTTTGTATTTTTTTTTGTTTGTTTGTTTGTTTTTTGTGGTACCAGGGATTGAACTCAGGACCTTGTACTTGCCAGGCAGGCACGTAAGCTGCTGAGCTATATCCCTGGCCCCTCGAATTGTGTTTTTGAACTGGTGATTTGGTGACAGTGTGAGGATGGCTCAGAGAGCAGGGCTGTCAGCTGTGGCTCTTTTTGCTGGTGGTGACTCGCCTCAGGAATCCTCATCTTAAGCACTGGCACAGGTTGGTTTGGTAGCCACTACTCAGCCGAGGGTCATTTCCCCTTTCTCTTCCCAGAGGATAAGCTTAGGTTCGTTTCCCACCCCTCCTTTTTAAAAAACTTTAGTGAGCAAGATAGAAAAGAGATGGTAGGCAACAAGAAGGTAGACTTTGTGCAGTGTGAAAGGAGTTGAGTGGAGCAGGGAAGAGAGACCGGAAGGGGAAGAAGTAGAAATGATCAAGACGCATTGTTTACATGAGCTAGTTGCCCATCATGATGTAATTATTACATATTGCAAACCTATACAACCATAAGCATGTTACTTATTTAGGTTCATGTTGGTATATGCTTTTTAGTGTATACCCATCAATTGGAATTGTATGTATTTATGGAGTACAAAGTGACATTATTTTTGAAAACAGTATGGAATGACTGAGTCAAGCCAGTTAACCTACCACCTCTGACTTCTGACATTTTTCATGGTGAGAATGTTTGACATTTACTCTTAGTGTTATTGAGATACAGAGTGCTAAGTCATTGGCTTATCTTTATCAACTTATGCAGAGAGCTCAGTCTGCTGCATCGTTACTGTGGGATAGATCCAAAGCCTGTTTTGGGCTTTGTACCCTTTGCCCATCATCTCCCCACTTCCCAGCCTCCAACCTCTGGTAATCACCATCTTACTCTCTGCTTCTTTGGTTCAGTTGTTAGATTTCACCTAAAAGTGGGACACTTCTTTTGTAGGTAATACGATTTGGGTGATGGAGACAGTGATAGTTTACCCTAATGTGTATGAGTGAGTACACGATGAAAGCTGCTGTATTTTAACATTCTTTTATTTTGTCTGTTAAAATTAGCTATGCTTTTATTACTGTATGCATTTGTTTTCCTCATGCTCCTTTTCTTCTGGTGTTCAAAATGCAACATTTTACCTCTTCTTGAAAAGGATGTGCCCAGGATTCATCAACACTAAAATTTGTTTAATTGACCTGAGCTTGTTGAATTTAGCCAATGGCAAGATCTGATCTTTGCCTTGGCTCATGGGAATCCGAGTGAAAAATCACTTGACACTCTGGTGGTCTTAGGAATGTCATTAATTTCCAGTTCTACCTATATATTCTCACTTTTTAAAAACATTTAAATCTTTAACTTTTGTTGTCTAGAGAATCATAAATATACTCCTCTGAGCAGTGACTTTTAAGGGAACCACCTCATGGTTTAGAGTGTTTCTGAATTCTGGTATGATTTTTGAAACTTTCATCAAGTTTATATGCACAGTGTACCTTCTCATCTGTTTCTTGATATTTCCTGAGTTGATTATGTGTTCCTCTTTTCTTATCCTGTTACATTACTCCGCTACTGGACATAAGGTTTTTGGTAGAATGCAGAGACCTGATGGTCTAAGAAGAGGTACTTGGAATGCATCTGTGGAACAAGTTGGGTCTGATTCTTATGATTCTTGTAAGTGGGCAAAACAACTCCTGTTTGTTTCTACATAAGGAAGCACTGACTTTGTACTTATGAATTTTAGACAATTTGACTATAGTTTAATACGTATAGTCCCTAATGGAAGAAAACTACTAAACTTCTGAACCTTACATCTTCTTAGAAATGTGCTATGTTTTGATATGTTTAATAAAAGAAGGCAGATTTTGTTCACTTTCATAACTGACAGCGTTTTACATTACTTGACAATTTTTTTAGTTGATCAACAGAGTCATATAGTTGGGATTTATTGGGAATAAGAATCAGAATTGTTTATGTTAAAATATTTCTGTATATGAAGCATCTAATTTCTTTTTCATTGGAAATTCATGTAAATTAGTTTCATGAAATGTGATTCTGAAAAGTCAAAACTACTTTACAATTTTTTATTTCATTTGAGAAAAGCCACTTGAGGGAACTTGAAAGGATTCATTGTTATGCACTGGAATATTGGTGTACTATTAGAACTACTTTCTTGAGTACTGTACTTTTTATCATAGATAGCTGTATTTAATTTCTCATAATCTTTAAAGACTTACTTTTTCCTCAGTGTATGATCTCATGGAAATTGTGGGTTGTGGAACTTCGTAAGTCATACAGCAAATGAACACAGCTTTTTGCTCTAAATACATCTTCAAGAGGAACATTG